ATATTTATGTTTGTGGTTGTAATGTGACAAAATATGGAAAAGTTCAAGGGGTATGAATACTTTTGCAAACCACTGTATATGACCCACAGGAGACACAACATTAACAGCAGATTTCATTCCTTTAAGCGGCTCCTTTAATTCCACGACTGACGCTGCAAAAAAGGACAGATTTTCTTTTCTCGATCTCGGAGAGCAGGACTTCAATCTTCGAACTCATAAAGATCTTTTTACTTTTCGCTGTCATTTTCATGACTGGACACTTCCTGGTGTCTGAGGCAGGAAACATAGCCTTATATGGTGGTAATTATGCTAATCTCCCCTCCTCGTGCACGAGCAGCTGGACACGAACAGGTGTAATTCATCATGTTTATGCAGCTCATTTACACACTTTTCCTGAAGATAGAAGAGTTTGTTGAATCAGATGTGGCATGTTCGTACGAACAAAAGTAAGAGAGATTAGATAAGAATAAGAATACGAACATGTTCTTGCATGAGGCCCATTGACTCTTGTACTACAGTTGTGTTAGATTTGTGCAAAGTGAACCTACATGTAGTTGATGACTGGCTGCCCCACGTGGCTGAAGTGCAGCTTCTCTGTGTAGCGGAAAGGTTTGATGGTGGGGAAGGTCCCCTCTCCAGGTTCATCAGACTCCCAGCTTCCCAGCAGCCAGTTCAGAGGCAGGAGGACTGGGTTCAGCTCTAATGGAGCTAAAAAAAAAAAAAACCCACACACTTCAGCATTTAAACAAAGAACAGGCCAACATTTCATTAAAATCACCTCTCATATTTAATGTACAATCCAGGTGACTTATTGATTAATGAAACAGTTACATTAGAAGGCATTCACTTCTTATGCAAGTTTCCAGAACTGTCAATATTACCAGTAACTGATTTTCACTGATGCCTGCTCACGTTTTCATGTTTATAGTCAAGCAACCCATTTAATTTTTAAATTTTTTGTTAATTTTTTATTGATTTTTTTTAACATGTTAAAGGCTTTGTGGCAGAAGTTGTTACAAACCAGCAACAAGAAGAATAGCTAATGCTAAGCATCATTTCAACAGTATTTATTTTCAGTTAAAAGCCGAGAGATTCAGAATAATTTGCCAACAGGAAAAAAAAGCTGTGATATTGAAGTTTTAATTCTCAATTGTCAACTTAATACTGTTTGCAGAAGTTTAGCCATCTATTTTTTTTAGGCTTAWACATATTTTAAATTCTAAGGGCTGGGGCTTCAAAAATATTGTCATATCATATTATAAAGCAAACATTATATTACTTTATGCAACATTGTTTCATGCATTGTTACTAATCAATTTAACTCTTATAAAGATAAGTACAAACTGCTAAACTTTCACATAGATGCATCTAATTATCTCCTTTGTAACTAAAACTGAAAATTGTGTGTGACAGCGTAATGTTGTTTATATATACAGTATATATATATATAT